TAACATCTATCATCCTGGCTGGTTTGGCTAGCGGTTAGAGCGTCAGCCCGAGGACCCATAATGAGTCATGGGTTCGATTCCAGTCAAGGGCACATACCTCAGTTGCGGTTTGTCCCTGGTCCTGGTCGGGGTCATGCGGGAGGCAGCCAGTTGATGTGTCTCCCTCACATCAGTGTTTCTTTCTCTCTCCCCCTCCCTCCCACCCTATCTGAAGATAAATGGAAAAATATCCTTGGGTGAGGATAAAAAAAAGAAAGAAAAGAATACCATCTATCTCATAGGAGTGTTGTAATGGGAAAAATTAATACATGAGAAGGGCCCAGGGCCCAGTACATAGTAAGTGCTTAATAAATGTAAATGTTAGCCAATATCTATTATCCTGTTGAATCCTTGTGATAACTTCAACTCATAGGCAAGTCTCTAAGAGGTAACTTGACTTGCCCATGATTACATAGCTAAGTAGCAGACCTTGGACTTGAACTCGATGCCAAGGCCCATGCTGTAGTGCCTCCTATTGCAGAACCCATCATACTGGGTTGTAATAGTTGTTTACTTGTCAGTCTCTCCCTCTAGGCTGAGTGTTCCATGAAGGTCACTGCTGTCTCTTGTCACGGCAGCCCAGTGACACATTTGAGACCCTAATTGAATGCATTAACAATGCTGAGCAGCTCAGACAAGTTATTTAGAGGGCTGAGGTGGTGGTCGCAACACCCTGGCTTCCCTTGCAGCCTGCATGGAAAAATGCCTCGGTGCCTTATCCTAGTATTAGTCTTTTGGTGGACAAATATTTACTGGTCCAGGAACTGCAGGTGCTCTTAGCTGACAGAAACCACAGTAGAAGTAGCAGACAGGATGCCCCAGATAAGCTTTCCCTTAAGCAAGCCCTGTCCTTGGCTAGGAAGCCTCCCCCAGTCTCGCTCCAATGCCTCCCCCATCAGCAGCTGTCCATAGTATTGAGGTGCCCACCCACCAGCTCCCTGTTTCAAGGAAATCGAGCGTCAGAGAGAGCCTTAGTGGGTTCAGAACGAATGTAAATATCACCAGCTGCCAGAGAGGATGACGTCAAATCCAGAGCTGGCTGGCCGTGGCCTTGGGGCTGCTCCCTGCACAGAGAGGCCTAAGGCCCTGAAGCCACAGAGAGGGAGGGGCGGCACAGGCTGGGAACTGCCAGCTCAGTACCCTGAGGACACATGTGATGGTTCAGGCCATTATCAAGGATCCCATGACTTGAAATATTTTTCTTTGCAAATCCACTGAAGTCAGAAATTAAATAGCTTTTCTTTTCTTGCTAATCCCTATTCAGAGCATTTGATCAGCATGAGCTTGAGAGGGTGACCTCTTGGAGTTGGTATCGTTCTACCTAAAGCAAAGTCTGTGTGGCTTTGAGGTTAAAAGAATTGGCTTGAGTCCCAGATTGCTCGGGTCCACCACTTACCTAAAACTTTGTGACCTCAGGCAACTTCTTGCACATCTCAGAGTCTCAGTTTCCTTATCTGAAAAATGGGGAGAATAGTATCTAGCTCACAAAATCATGGTTGGGATTAACGTATTTTCAGTGAGTGTTTATCATGTGCCAAGTGTGTGATCAACACCAGTGAACAAAACATTGTACATGAAGGAAGATAGACAATAAATCGATAAATATTGAATATGTCAGATATTAGTAAGTGCTATGAAGACAGATAAGGCACAGTAAGTAGAATAAAGTATCAGGGTTGGCACCCTGGACGGTTTGGCTCAGCGGTTGGAGCATTGGCCTGCGGACCAGAGAGTCCCAGGTTCGGTTCCTGCTAGGGGCACGTACCAAAAAAAAAAAAAGTATCAGGGTTGCGGTTTGTCAGGGTTGGGAGGAGTTATTTCACTTTGGGATAGTATAGGAAGGCCATTCTGATACGATGACTTCTGAGTAGACCCCTGGTTGAAATAAGAAAGCAATTCATGGGGCTATCTGGGGGAGAACTCTTCCAGATAGAGAAATGAGCATGTGTCAATGTCCTGAGGCAGGGGAGCACCTGGACTGTTCAAGGAAAGGCAAGAAGGCTAAGGTAGCTGGAGTAAAATGGGTAAGGGGGCTGGTAGAAGGGATGATGTCAGAGAGGTGACTGGGGGCAGGGTGTGTAGGGCCTGGTAGCCCACTGCAAGGACTTTGACATTTACTTTGAAGGAAACGGGAACCATTGGAAGATTTTGAGCAGAAAAGGATGATCTGATAGGTTTTAAAAAATCCCTTTGGCTGCTATGTAGAGAATAGACTGTAGGGGACTCGGTAGCAGGAAGACCAGTTAGGAAGCTTTTGCAATTGTCCCAGTGAGAGCTAGCACCTTTGATTAAATTGGTAGCAGTAGATAGTAAGAAGTGGTAAAATTCTGGATATGTGTCTGAAGGAGGAGCTGTTAGGATTTGTATAGATGGATTGCTGTGTGTGTGTGTGAAAGAGAGAGAGAGAAAGAGAGAGAGAGATGACTTTATAGAGTTTAACTTGAGAAATAGAGTGGCCATTTACTGAAGTGGGGGAAGACAATTGGGCACAAAATAAGTGCTCAGTAAATATTAGTTATTCTTTGAATTGATGATTTTAATTTCCTGGGTTGTCTAAACTCAGTGACCCAAGGCTTTGCAAATGTTGAGCATACCTGGCAATAACACCATAAACATTATGCCTGAGCATGTTACTCTGTGCCAAGCACCATAGACAGAATATTTACTTAGCAGTACTACCCTGCATGGTGTAAGAAAGCCCTATGAGCCCTGGCCAGTTTGGCTCAGTGGTTAGAGCGTCGGCCCGCAGACCAGAGAGTCCCGTGTTCAGTTCCCGCTAAGGGCACATACCTCGGTTGCGGTTTGTCCCCGGCTCCTGTTGGGGTCGTGTGGGTGGCAGCCAGTCGATGTGTCTCTCTCGCATCCATGTGTCTCTCTTGCATTGATGTTTCTCCCCCTGCCCCCGCTCTATTTGAAGATAAATGCAAAAATGTCCTTGGATGAGGATTAAAAAAAAAAAAGAAAGCTCTATGAGAAAATTAACATTTGTTGAATTTTTAACATATTTCAGGCACTGAACATTTTTCATTTAATCCTGTCTCTACCACCAGAATGTAGGCTGCATGAGAGAGATTTTATACCTCTGTGTACTACTGCACACACCTAAAAATCATAGTGGGAATATTAGTTAATATTTATTAAAATGAAACTTTATTATTGTAGATAGAGGTTGAATAACTTCCCAAGGTAGAGCTAGGTTTCAGTAAATATTTGTTGGATAAAAATGAGTATTACATTTCCATTTTAGAGAAGAGGAAACGGCAGGTGGCAGATGAGAGATCTGAACCCAGGATTTCCTGACGCCTGAGCTTGGACCCCTTCCATGGCCACATTGCGGGGCCTCATACACCCTCTGGCTGTGTTTGAAGCCGAATAGAGATTTGATGACCCTGATTACACCACAACGTGCAAAACTTCAGGCTACTCAGAGAAAGATCTAATGCTTGATCAGATTGTGAAGCTCTAGTAACATGATCCTAAATTTTTATCTTCATGAAATGCATAACTTTAAAGTATTCGTTTTATCTAATTTGCCCAAGGTCACACAGACTGTAAGGGAAGGAAACAAGATGTGAATCCAGTCTTCCCACACCAGTGTCCTTGTTTGTTTCTCTACTCAAGGATTCTTGACCTGGGGCACAAGGACACTTAAGAGGGGTCTCCAAATGTACTTTATGGTAACTTCTTTCCCCAGCATTGTCTGCTAAACAGTGTGTGTGCTTAGGAACAGGTGCATTTTGGAGGGAATCGGTTCATAACTTTCATTATATTCTTTAAAAAAAAATTTATTTTCTTTATTGAGAGAGAGAGAGAGAGAGAGAGAGAGAGAGAAACATCAATGAGAGAGAACATTGATTGGCTACCTCCTGCATGGCCCCCACTGGGGATTTGGCCTGCAACCTGGGCATGTGCCCTGACCAGGAATTGAACCAGCAGCCTCCCAGTGCATGGGTAGATGCTCAACCACTGAGCCACACTTGCCGGGCTTTCATTATATTCTTAAAGGTACCTATGATTTAAAAAACAAACAACAAAAAAGTTTACTTTTATCTTATGTATCTATTTTTGTACATTTTTATTTTTAAAACTGTTTTTAGATGAGTAGAAGAAAGAAAAAGGAAGGAAGAAATGATGGGGAATGGGTGTAGCCAAAATATAGCCAACGCCAATTTCTGTTTCCCGTTGCTCTTCACTCACTCATTCAGCAAATTTTTGTTGAGCACCTGCTACGTTCCGCGCACCATTCTAGGCCTGGGAATGCTTAAGTGGGCAAACTCTTAGCATCAGAGTTTATATTCTATGAAGGGAAACAGACAAAATAATGACGACGACGATCCCGTCAGATGCCATAAAAAAATAATGCAGGGTCAGAGAACGAGGAGGAGGAGGAATGGCATTTTATTTTTTATTATTATTTTTTATCCTCACCCGAGGATATTTTTCCATATTTTGTTCAGATAGAGTGGGAGGGGGAGAGAGAGAGAGAAACATCGACGTGAAAGGAACACATTGAGTGGCTGCCACCAGCACGACCCAACCAGGACCGGGGACAAACTGCAACCCAGGTACATGCCCTTAGCGGGAACCGAACCCGGGTCTCTCTGGACCACAGGCTGACGCTCTAACCGCTGAGCCAAACCGGCCAGGGCGGGAATGGCATTTTAAATAGGTGGTCTGTGCTGTCCATGGACTCCAACGAAGGGAGCGATCACGGATGCCAGGGTGCCCTCCATAAACCTTGCTTTTGCGCTAAGCTTCGCCAGGATGGGGACTGTAGGGAGGGGGGAGCGCACTCGGGAGGTGCAGAACGCATGCTCCTTCCTGCTCCGTGGCTCCGAGCTTTTTGACAAGGACAGTCTTCCAAGGAGGAGTGCGCAGGCTCCTCGGTTAAAAAGCACGGCCCAATAGAAACGTCCTTTGAGGTGGGGGTCCCGCCTCCGCAGCCCATCCTTCTGCTTCCGTTTCCGGCGCTGCGGAGTCCTGGTCAAAAATGGCGGCGGCGGCGGCTTCCCCGGCTTCTAGGCTCCTACGTCGGTTCCAGCCACAGCTGGCGCGGCTAATGTCGGGTGGTGCCCACGGCGAGGAGGGCTCAGGTACTGGGGCTGCGGCCGGTAGGCGGGCCTCCGCCCGGCTCCCGCGACGCTGCGCGGCACCGTGACCTTGCCTTGAGGCCTGCGGGGAGGGGGATGAGACCCGGGCGGGGCCCTCTCCGCAGGCCTGAGTCGTCGTGCCCCTCCGCAGCTCGCATGTGGAAGGCCCTCACCTACTTCGTGGCGCTCCCCGGGGTGGGAGTGAGCATGCTGAACGTCTTTCTGAAGTCGCGCCACGAAGAGCACGAGAGGCCCGAGTTCATCGCCTACCCCCATCTCCGCATCAGGTCCAAGGTACGCCCCTGCGTTCTCTTGGAGTGTCCGTTCTCCCTTCATTCCAGATGCTCTCCTCCAAGTTCTTAATTCTCCAGAAGCGTGTACAGTTTCTCATTGAATAATCACCAGTTTTTATTTTTCCGGTTTTACGGACGGGAACCTGAGACGGGGAGGGGAAAGGGGGTGTCACTTCCCACATTCTTCTTTAAAGTCATACAATAAGTGCCCTTCAGTTTTCCTTTTCTAATTCAGCCCATCTTCTGCTCTCTGGTACTGTTCTGAAACAGTTGTCGGTTATATAAAACTTGAGGTTTGGGAAACTTTCTTAGACTGGCAAAGACGGGACGTGGTTCGCCTTTCTAGGACCTGGGCACCTGGCAGGGACTAGCTGCCTAATGAAGAGACTGACACTTTCTGTTCTTTTCTAGGCTGTATATCTTCCCAACTCTTTTGTCCTTTGGCTGTTGATGTAGATGCTATAATAATTGTTTCCCATTGTTTACTGTATTCTTAACAAGAGCCTCTTCTGGTTGTTTATTAACTGTTGCATCACTTAGTCCAGGTAGGACTGGCCTCTTAGAAATTTAAGCTAGATTCTTAGATTCAGAATTTGTGAGTCTTTGAGCCCCACTCCCACCCTTGTGCAGTAGAATTAAAAGCCATACAGCAAGGTTTCTCGACCTCAGTACTGTTGACATTTGGAGCTGGATAATTCTTGTGGGGGTTGCTATCCTGTCAGTTGTAGGATGTTTAGTAGCAACCTTGACCTCTATCCACTAGATGCCAGTAGTACCCTACCCTGCCCCAGGTGCCTCCAGATATTGATTGCCCAGTGTTCCTGGAGGGGCAAAGTCATCCTGAGTTGGAAGCCACTGCCCAAGAGCAATGCTTTGCAAAGGTAGCTTGCGAATATCTTCTCCCCCATACCCACCTCTGAGGTTCTGATACAGGTGATTTGAGGATTACACTTTCATAAACACACCACTGAATACAGGTTACCAGGGAGAGGCTTATGAATTACAAATGTGAGCTTGCTTTTCCCGTTATCTACTTTAAGAGTTCTCCTGGAAGTTTTAAGAGCTCCCTTAAATTATGGGAAGGCTGAAATATGCCAGTAGTTAAAGGGCTAATTTCCATTTTGTTTTATGTATTATATATCACCCTGTCTGTTTTAAACAGTTCATGGCAAGTGCTGTTTCTGAACTATCTGGAATGTCCTAATTGACATCTTCACTCCACAGCCCTTTCCCTGGGGAGATGGTAACCATACTCTATTCCATAATCCTCATCTGAATCCGCTTCCAACTGGCTATGAAGATGAATAAAGAAAATCTGGACCACTACCCATGGGGACCACAGCACTGGTTTGGACCATTACTCTGCACATGGACCAGAAAAGTGTACGGGACCTTAAGCTGACCTTCTTTCCTAGTATAAAATGATGACTAGAACATACTGATCTTCCGTCTCTTTGCTTATGGCAGGAGATGGCTTAAATAAATAACTTACATTGGTCACGAGCTGAGAGTTGCATTCTTTAGTGGTGTTTTTCCTTCAGAAACGAGCATTAATGTTATTTCTGTTTCTGCAGTGAAGAACAGGGTTTATAACAGGCCTATCCTTGGTTCCTTGTGCTGGGGTATGTAAAGAGAATGGAGCTAAGTATCGAGATTGGGTCTTGACAGACATCAAATGGCCAGCAGAGTGGCTGCAGTTTCATTGAAAAGAGGTTTCTGTGATTCTTGAGAGGAAGTGCTTCCTCTGTGTCTCAGCTTTCTCCTATCCCATTCCATCAGCATTTGCTGCAGAATACTCCCTACAGGTACTTTCTCTGGAGGTGTCAAATTCTTACCATGGGGTCATCTCTCAGCACCTTGAAGGTTGTTAGGGCCAAAAATCTTTGGAGAAATAAAGGTAGTATCTTTGAAGTAGCTGAGATAGTTGGAGGATGAAGTCAAAATAGCATGAGGAACAATAAAAAAAATTATTCTGTCAGTGGCAATTACAATAAAGAACATGGTTAGCTTGGAGCTGATTTTATTCTCAAGGCTCAACCAGACAGTTTTGTGGTAAGATTCAAGAAGCTACAAGGTTTTGGTGTTAGCACATACAGTAAACTGGTACAATGCAAAGGTGAGGCACATAGAAACATGGGGTGTGAAAACCATTTACATTTAAGAAAAAAGAATCCCTGTTATTTTTGCCATTTCGTGATCTAGCCATAGCTTGTGCTTCCCTGTAGAGCTGCTGTGTTTGTGGCCAGTCTGAGCTCAGGACAGATGTACTTATCTTCAACTTGCTATCTGGACTTGCCTCCCTCAGCTGGCCTCCAAGTATCTCTTACCATCCTTGTAGAATGGACCTTAAACAGTCAGAACATAAATGCAGAATGGTTCAAAATGACATTAAGGACTGGTCACATTAAATATGAAGTAGTAATTTGTAAAGTGGAAGAGAACAGAATTTAGGCCTTTAAATCAAGTTCCAAACTATTGAACCAAATTACTCAAGATAAGCAATTATGTGAACCACACGACATTCTAAAGTATGTAAGTGCTCACCTGATCCTGTCTTATCGTGCCATTATGTAAACATTTTAAGATACTTGTGTAGCCTACTGTGGAAATAAATTTTAAAAGTCAGTGAGGTTTCTAATTGCTATGTCATACTACTGTAGGTAAAAATCTTCACTTTCCTCACCTTTAAATTATAAAACATAGCCCTGGCCAGTATGGCTCAGCAGTTAGTGTCGGCCTGTGATCCAGAGAGACCCGGGTTCGGTTCCCACTAAGGGTACGTACATTGGTTGCAGTTTGTCCCCGGCCCTGGTTGGGTCTTGCGTGTGGCAACCACTCGATGTGTCCCTTTCATGTCGATGTTTCTCTCTTTCTCTCCCCCTCCATCGAAACAAAATATGGAAAAATATCAAGTGAGGATTAAAAAATAAATTATAAAACATACCCTCCCCAGTGTATATATGGGATATGTGGGGTAACAGGATAATAACTGTTTTATAAAGTGCACAGAGTTCCAAGGGGCAAATAATGATAGAAACTAAATGTTACAGTTTATTCCATCTTCATGATTACAGACATGGCAGCGTGGGTAAACAAGGCAAATAAAGCAAACTCCTTTCTCCCCCTATTTAACCAGATACAGTATTTTGGCATTTTCATGATACACAAGTTGACTTAATTCATTGACTTAGGTTGAAAGCTGACAACAGCAAATCTCTGCAATTCAGGATCTTCCCCCATAGCATACCCAAGGGTCTTAATGATTGAACTACACTGTGAGCTCTGAAATGGTGTTCAATCTAACATTCTCGAAGCTCTCACATCTTAAACTGACATCTGACACCTTGTTAAGGCAGGGAACTATTAAAAGCTTCCTCTTGGCTCAGTCCACCAGCAATCTTAACAGTTAAGTTACTATGTAAAAATAAAGCGGCTCCCAAGCATTGGCTAAAACAGTTGTGCTGGGATCCCTTTTCAGAGCACTAGCTCCCTGAGAGAAAAGAGGTCCTAACCAATTGCTTCCATGACCAATGACCCCAGTACAGTATACCGAATGTCCACTGAAACATAACTCAAGAGGTCAGGTGACCATGATCATCCTGACAAGTTTATCAGTATTTACATACAAGATATATTTAAAGCTGATTCCAGATGAAGTATTGCAACCATAATCCCAAGAAATCAGTTTTAGCACAGCGAGTTCCTGTAAAATGCCAGAGCAAGTGAGAAATCATCCCGAAGTAAAAAGTGATGATTCATCTGTTACAAGTGAGAGGAAAACATCTAGAGGGAGGGGGAAAACTCCCCCTTAAACTCCTCATTAAATCGATGGCTATCTTCACAGCCTTAATTGACAAAATCCAGAGTGCTCAATTTCCTGATTTGAGGAGTCTATTCTCAAGGTGATTGTCAAGGTCAAGAAGAGCTTTCAGGCTTTTCTCTGCCATGGCCCATGAACTCCAGTCCTTCAATGGGAATCTCCTTCTCCTTTATTGCTTTCTGATGGGAAGAGAAAACACATAAATGTCAATATGAAGCTTACTGGCTTTGAGCAAGCCTCACTTTTCTTGTCTGCAAATGGGATAAAGACAGTAACGACTGGAGGGAGGGAGAGAAAACGGGCCAATGAAGGGGTTATAATAAAAAATAAAACACTCTACAATGTCTTAACAGGCCAGAGAGAGGCTAACACCCAGCCTTGCCCCCCAAACAAAAGTAGTGCAAAAGTGCACCACCGCGAAAATCAAGGCAACTTGAATCTAGAGAACTTGGCCCAATCACTTATTTCTGGGCGTGACTGTTCCATTTTTCAAATACGAAGAACTACGCCCACTTTGCAAGTTTAAGATAAACAAGTGAACCAAAGAATGTTACTGTGCTCCATCAAATGTAAAGCACTACGAAAATATTTACCTTCGTCATCTGGAGAGAGAGCAGGCAGCCTCTGATGGTGACGGAAGGAGAGAGAACCGTCACTGGCCTCAATAACAAGGCTTTTCTCCACCCTCCCGGTCCTAACCCCGCAAATAAGAGGCTTGAGGTCGGGGACACCCCAGAGAACACAGGGCCTGTGGGTAGAGGCGAGGGCCGCTGCTCACCTGAACACACTGCTGGTAGCGCTTGAAAAGGTCAGTGCATGGGTCGCCAGAGCTGTCCCCCTTGAGGAACTTCTCGGCAAACCAGCGATTAAAGCACTGGTCGTACTCGCGCTTCATGTCGGTGCACCCCTCCCCGACGCTGTTCATGGCGGCGGCGGTGGCGGCGCACTCTGATGTCATCACTTTTAGGCACGTCGCTCCGCTTTACGTAAGAGCGTAGTACGGAGGCCGAGAAGAGGAGAAATGTGGGCGCGGGCTGTGTTGCTGCTCCTCCGAACCCCGGTGGGCGGGCGCCGGGGCTTCACTTCCAAGGCAGACCCTCAGGTACAGGCCGGCAGGTGAGGGCTGTCCGCGCGGGTTGGGAGGCGGAGCAGGCCGCAGCCGTGACCCACACCGTCCCTCCCCCACACCCCTCCCCAGGGAAGTGGGCGAGTCACCGCCGATGTGATCGAGCACCTGGAACGTCTGGCGCTTGTGGACTTCGGCAGCCAAGAGGCCGTGGCACGTCTGGAGAAAGCCGTCGCCTTTGCCGATCGGCTCCGCGCTGTGGACACAGACGGGGTGGAGCCCATGGAGTCAGTCCTGGAGGACAGGTAAACCCGCGGCTGCGGCCACGAAGCCTTGCCTGCTGTGGAGCCTCCGCAGCCGTTTAGGGCGGCGATGAGTGTCTTGTTTCACAGAGGAAGAAAGAGTCTTAGGCGAGATGCGGGAACCTGCCCGCGATCGCCTCGCGGGTCCTATCGCTCTCGTTTAAATTCCTCAGGGCCTCCCAGTGTACCGAGGACAATCCGAACCTGCTAATCGTCTTCGAGGCTCCCCTTCACCGAGCCCCTCCTTCCTACCACCCGACATCCCACTCTTTCCAGTCCAGCCACATGGGCTTCATTGCTGTGCTCCAACATGCCAAATCAATTCTTTCTCTAGATCTTTGCACTTGCTATTCCTTTTTTTTTTTTTTTTGACATTCTGTATCTCTGCCAAGTCTTAGTTTATCTCCTCCGAAAGGCCTGACCAGGCCAAATCCCATCTCCCCTTCCTTATTCTGTTGTTTTCTTCAGATATATATTTTTTTATCTAATTTTTTCCAACACCATTTATACCCTCTATGCCCTCTCCCACCTCCACCCATCCCTCCTCCACTTGATTTTTTTTTTTTGACAATCTTATTTTTGTTTTGTTACGTCTCTTGACAAAATGAGTTAATGTCTGACTTGCTTACTATTGGATTCCTTTTTCTAAATTTTAAATGTACATATTTTCTCACCTAGTGGTTCCCTATGGAAATATCTATGAAAGTGCACCGAGATGTGTGCACAAGTATCAAACACCCCAGAAACAGATCATCTCAGTGTCCTTCATGACTAGATACATCATTATACAATTGACTATTCAGCAGTTAAGAATGAAACAAATAACTATATATGCTGATATGGAAGAATCTCTAACATATTTAATTTAAAAAATTCAGAACACTGTGTATGGTATTGTGGATACTTTATGTGTAATCTATTTTACATATTCTGATGTATGCATTGAGTTTCCTTTTGTTCCCTGAAAAGGCATGCAAAAAGAACTGTTAATAAGTTTTAAAGAAAGTGGGAATGAAAAGGAAAGTTTAACTTTTCATTTTATACTAAGGGCCAAAAACACACATGCAAAGGGGGGCAGAGTAATAATATAAGTAGTGAAGTGTAGTGTAGTGCAATAGGGAGGGGTGGGGTCTTTGACAAATTAGCTTGTGAATACTAAAAGGACACAGCCTCTACCCACCTCTACCAATTGTTGCCAAATCTTAACACATTTGTTTTTTTGGGTGGTACATGCCCCTAGCAGGAATCAAACCCGGAACTCTCTAATCCACAGGCCGACGCTCAACCGCTGAGCCAAACTGGCCAGGGCTTAACACATTTTTTAAAGAAAATGCTTGTTGCTCTGGCCGGTTTGGCACAGTGGTTAGAGAATTGGCCTGTGGACTGGAGAGTCTGGGATTTGGTTCCTGCTAAGGGCATGTACCTAGGTTGCAGTTTGTCCCTGGCCCCGGATGGGGTTGTGTGGGTGGCAGCCACTTGATGTTTCTCTCTCTCCCCCTCTCCCTTCCTCTCTCTCAAATCAGTAAAGAAAAAGTTTTTAAAGATGGGTATATAGCTCATAAAAAACATCAACTGGCTGCCTCCTGCACACCCCGCTACTAGGGATCAAGCCTGCAACCCAGGCACCTGCCCTGCTCAGAAATCGTACCAGGACCTCTCATCTCAGTCCATGGGACAACGCTCAATCCACTGAGCCACACTGGCCGGGCTTCCTGATGAAATTTTAAAAAATAATAAACTAGTACAGGTGAGAGCAAGAAAGATTAGTGCCATTAATCAATACCAGTAGGGGTAGCCAGATCCACCTATAACCATAGACTTTGTGTAAACTGCTTGTTAGCCTCCAGTCTTTGATTCCTTCAAATCCTTTCTCTCTCTTGTATTCTGATGCTCAAGTCTAGAGGGTTTAACAAATTTGCCCAAATATACACAGCGTTTCAAAACAGAAACCTGATATAGCCCTGGCCAGTTTGACTCAGCAGTTAGAGCGTCGGCCTGCAGTCCAGAGAGACCCTTCAATTCCTGCTAAGGGTGCGTACCTCGTTTGCAGTTCATCCCCGGCCCTGGTTGATCCTGTGGGAGGCAGCCACTCGATGTACTCCTTTCACGTCGATGTTTCTCTCTCTTCCTCTCTCTCCCTCCCACTCTATCTGAACAAAAAAAGGAAAAATGTCCTCAGGTGAAGATTAAAAAAAATAAACTAGGCCTTGACCACCTCTCCAATAAAACGCCATAACTTTCAATTCCTCTAGCTCTCTATTCTTTCCCTTCAATGCCCTTGTTTTACCACTTCATCACACCGACTCCTCTTTTTTCCTAATTTTCTTCAGATTTCCACTGACACCTCCTCAGGACCTATGGCTCTCTCATGGTATTAAATAGTGCTGGGATTTTATGTGTATTTTATTTTATTATTATTATTTTTATCCTCACCCGAGGACATTTTTCGATATTTTGTTCAGATAGAGTGGGAGGGAGAGAGAGAGAGAAACATTGATGTGAAAGGGACACATCGAGTGGTTGCTACCCACACGAGCCAACCAGGGCCGGGGACAAACTGCAACCAAGGTACGTACCCTTGGCGGGAACGAAACCCGGGTCTCTCTGGACCGCAGGCCGACGCTCTAACCACTGAGCCAAACCGGCCAGGGCTTTATGTGTATTTTGTACATCTACTTGAGTGATACTGGATTCTCTGCCTCTCTCCTGCTCATCTGCATTCCAGGGAGCATGTTTGTTACTGCTCGTGATGTTCTCAGTATCTGGCACTGAGCAGACAGTAAATGTTGGTTGACTGTTCTTTATTAATATTTTTGGGAAAGTAGGGACTAGAAGCACAAAGAAGAGTCAGAATTTCCCATGTCATCTAGAGGGTAGCTAAAAAAAAAAAAGCAACTATTACTCAAAGAAGAGTTTGTGAAAAAGATGAAGAGGGATTTGGAATAGTAGCTGGAATAGTGACTTGGTATTCAGTGCTATAATCTTGCCATAAATTTGGAGATCAGTTTGGGTTAATGATTCCATTTTACAGATGTGACATTTATAGGACTTTAATGTTTTGAACATGCTGCCTGACCCTTGAAACGGAACCCAGAGTTAAGTGAAGACAACTGTTGAAGGGTTTTAAGTGATAGCCATACTCGCTATAAAAGCCCTAACTGGCTAATAGAAATCTTATTAGCACATTAATATAATAATCTATCATTTGGTTTGAGCTAAAAAGCACTAGCATGCTTACATGACAGGTACTGATATTTGTATGCATTAACTCAGTTATTACATACAACCCTGAAGGAAAATACTAGTATCTCTTTTATAGATTAAGAAACGGAGGCTCAGGCCCTGCCCAGTTTGGCTCAGAGATTAGAGCATTGGCCTGCGGACCGAAGGATCGCAGGTTTGATCCCCAGCCCTGGTAGGGGTTGTGCAGGAGGCAACCAATCTCTCTCACATGGATGTTTCTCTCTCTCCCCCTCCCTCCCTTCTACTCTACCTAAAAGTCAATGGAAAAATATCCTCAGGTGAGGAATAAAAAAAAAAAAAAAAGAAACTGATGCTCATAAAGATTATGTAACATGTCCCAAAGTTTCGTGGGAAATAAGAAGAGATGTCAGGGTTTGGAACTCAGCCTTACTGCTTTAGATATGCCATTTAAAGTCAACCCCTAAAAACTTGATTCTCTTATCTCAAATTCAGAGACGGACTCAGATGACTCCTCTGACTGCAGCCAAATACTTTAATGTTTAGGATCTCCCTGAGCCTTATTTGAACCAAAAACTTAGCCAATATGATTAGCTTTCATTCCAGTCTGCACCAAACTGGGAATAATTTAGGAGGGAGGAAGAGGCTTGAAAATAATGGAAGTAGGGTGATTGATACCCAGAGAAATGACTCCTGGCAGCCTGATTCCAGGGAAGGGCAGAAACTGAAACAGCAGAACTGTCCTATTGTCAGTCCAAGGGCCCGCAGAGCCACTTCTCCTTCCTCCATGCTGCTATACTGATTTCCATTAAGTTAAATGCTTTTTATTTGCATTTTCCAGTTACTGGTTTAAATATCTGTCTATGAGCTTTAGAAGGCAGGAGTTTCAAGTTCACAGTTGAAGCCTTTCTTAATCTGGGTTTTTCATCTGAACCAGAACACAGATCCAAGTGACTCTTTTCAGTTCTCCCAAGGATGGTTCATACTATTAGCCCAGATATATAGAAGTTGGTTATCAAAATGGCCATACCAGCTCTAGCTGGTTTGGCTCAGTGGTTAGAGTGTTGGCCTGTAGACTGAAGAGTCTCAGGTTTGATTCTAGGTCAAGGGCACATACCTGGGTTGCAGGTTTGAACCCCGGCCCTGGATGGAGTTGTATGGGAGGCAACCAATCAATGCCTCTCTGCCCCCCGCCCCAATCAATGGAAAAAAAATATTCTTGGGTGTCCAGCTGGTGTAGCTCAGTGGTTGACCATCCACCCATGCACCAAGAGATTGCTGGTTTGATTCCCAGTTAGGGCACAGGCCCAGGTTGTGGGCCCAATCCCCAGTGAGGGGCATGCAGGAGGAGGCCAATGTTCTCTCTCATCGATGTTTCTATTTTTCTCTCCCTTCCTCTCTCTCTAAAATCAGTAAAGAAAAAAAATATCCTTGGGTAAGGATTAACTAAAGCAGGGGGGGGGGGGCTAATCCTATAGTACCTGGGCTAATTCTCTTGTAGAACATGGACTGATATTTAGTCAATCATTGATTCACAGGCACCTAAAGAGCTCATCAGTTCCTGTTCCGAGGTTAAGAAAAGTTACGAGACTTGCCAAGTGAAGGGTCTGCTTGGAATGCCATTCTCATAGATACCCTGGGCTCAGTAGCCTACAAAGAAAACAGGGAGGTGTGGGTTTATTCTAGAAACTACTTCATAATAAAGAGGAATCAGGTAGAAATATGTGATATTTAAAGGGGTGAATTTTCGGCCTGGCTGGTGTAGCTCAGTGGATTGAGCATCCTCTGATGAACTGAGAGGTCCCGGTTCAATTCCAGGTCAGGGCACATGCCTGGGTTGCAGACTTGATCCCCAGTGGTGGGCGTGCAGGAGGCAGCTGATAGATTTATCTCTCTCTCCCTTCCTCTAAAATAAATTAATAAACACATAAATAAATAATAAAAGGGGTGAATTTTGTTTTTCTGGAAATGTCACACAGAAAACCTGGTTACCAAATGAATGAATAAATCAATTGCTATTAGATCAACTATTGGGAAGCAGTAGCTTTTAACCTGTTAGTGGTAGCAGTCTTCATCAAAACCTCCAAGTGCCCAGGAACAATTAGCACCCCTCCAGTTGGTAGGGATTAGGCAGGTTAAGCGAACAGTTATACTCTGAATGAGTGGTGGGGACTGAGGTGTACTTGGGGCTACTCTTTTTAAAAGAAACAGGTGCTATTCAGTATCCATCTCTTATTGACATGAGAATACAGTCCAGCATTATCAGATTTTTTTTTAAACATAATTTCATCTCCCCAGCAACTCTTTGAAGCATTCTACAAATAAGGAAACTGATACATGGAGAGGATAAGTAATTTGCACACACGCCTCATGAAGGTGGCTGTGGTGGAAAAAACACTCATCGCTGGGATTTGAATTCAGCTGTGATTCAGGAGCTCAAGCTCTTAGCCATTTTGTTCTACTGCCCAACAGAAATATAAACTCCAGACAGTCCAATGGTCACCTTTATGGATGATTTTTATTTTTGTTCTCCAAGTTTTCTTAAACAAACACATAATTCTATGAGTAACAAAACAAAACAAAACAAAAAAATCCGAATCACTAATGCAACCTCCACTTTTTTAGCAAGAAACTTAAGGTCTGGAAAGATCACATTTGTTTAAGACCGGTTAAGTAGTGCCAAATCCTGGAATAGACTCCAGCTGTGCACTCCTCATAGTATGAATGAAGTGTTTACTCTGTCTAACCTTAGGCTGGGTGTCACAAAAAGAACTAGCCCTTTCCTAACAGAACTTTACAACTTCACCCTCTAGGCAGCCTCTGTCCAGATGTTCATGTCACATCCTTGCCCCTCTGTCCCATTAGGTTTAGCCCTAGATGTATGCCTAGCTCAAACCCCAAGTATCTGCAAGCAGGCTCAGACCTCCTGTCATGCAGTCTTCAACCTTGAAACAGTAGGAAGCCCATAGGTATTCAACTCCTGTTTGGTTTCACTAGTTTGTCATCTGGATACTTGAATGAAGCTACTAGGCCCAGAGAACAGTGGGAGGTTCCTGAGCTATGTTTGTAGTACATCTTGCAAAGGAAGGCACTTTTATCTCCACAAAGGTGGCTACAGTGAAAAAAGTACTTGTCTTAGGAGTACCAGAACTGGGTGCAGGTCCCAGTCCTATCACTGAGGAGCTAGTATCCTTAAGTCGCTTATAACCACTCTTGAGCAAGTTACCTACCAGGAAATCCATTTCCCATCCTCCCAATCCAGCTATTTTTTGCCCATCCTTTAGCAATGACATCACCTAGTCTAAGTACTTGTTCTTTACCCAGGCAGGGTCAGGTGTCCCTTTCTACTCCCTTGACAAGCTGTGCTTACCTGTTAGATTTAACACATTGTATTTTAACTACTTATCTCCACCAAAAACAACTTACCCACAGTAATTATCCGAGAACATTTAAACACATCAATCCCAAGGAATAACAACCACTTACCACACAGGGCTGTTGGGAGAATCTATAAACTGTAGAATGTCATTTGATACAATGTTGACCATAGTTCCTCCACTTTTGAGCAGTGCCCAGAACTCAAGAATATGCTGCACCCTTCTCCCATTCTTGACCCCCCACCCATGCCTTAGAAGCCCTGTTCACTGACAAGGTAATCTTAAGCTTTTGGTTTTGTAGATGTCTGTACTTGAGATCCGACAATGTGGTAGAAGGCAACTGTGCTGAAGAACTACTACAAATCTCCCATCGGGTTGTGGAGGAGTATTTCGTGGCCCCGCCAGGTATGTTTCCCAAAGTGGTTTAACAAGCTTGTCCCACAGTAGACTAAGAACATAATAGGAATTGTGAGGCCCAAATTTGCTATGTAAAAGCAGTCGGAAAAGTATAAACTGTGAATTAGATGAAGGTAGTCAAAAGGTGCAAATTTCCAGTTTTAAGATAAGTCCTGGGGATGTTATGTACAACATGATGACTACAGTTAACAGTACTGTGGCCCTGGCTAGAAACTCAGTTGGTTAGAGTGTCGTCCCAACAAGCCAAGGTTGCAGGTTCAACCCCCAGTCAGGGCACATATAAGATCAATCAATGGCCCTGGCCAATTTTGTTCAGTAGTTCATGTGTCTGCCCTCAGACCAAAGGGTTATGGGTTTTAATTTCCGATCAAGGGATGTACCTGGGTTGCAGCTTCTATCCCTGGCTTCAGTCGGGGTTGTGCCGGAGGCAACCAATCAATGTCTCTCCCCCTCCCTCCCTCCCACTCTTCAAAAAAAAATCAATGAAAAAAAATATCCTTGGGTGAGGATTAACATAACAAAACAAAACAAAACAATGCATAAATGGGTGGAGCAACATATCAATGTTTTTCTTTCCCTTCTTAAAATCAATTCAAAACAAAACAAAAAGCGCAATATTGTACTGTGTATCTGAAAGTTGCTGAGAGAGATCTTAAAATTCTCACAAGGAAAAAAAACCTGTAACTAGCCTGGCCGGTGTGGCTCCAGTGGTTGAGTATCAACCCATGCACCAAGAGGTCGCTGATTTGATTCCTGGTCAGGACAAATGCCCAGGCTGTGGGCCCGATCCCCAGTGCAGGGCATGCAGGAGGCAGCCAATCGATGTTCTATCTCATCAATATTTCTCTCTCCCTCTCCCTCTAAAATTAATAAAGAAAAAAAATATATATATTAAACAAATAGATAATGTCTTAAAAACACACAAACCTGTAACTATGTGAGATATGACTGATATTAACTAATCTTTTTAAATTTTTTATATCTTTCAAAAAATTTGTTAGTTTTTTTTGGTTAATCCTCAGACGAGGATATTTTTCCATTAATTTTTAGATAGAGTAGAAGGGAGGGATGGGGAGCGGGAGAAACATTGGTGAGAGACATCGACTGGCTGCCTCCTGCACAACCCCAACTGGGGCCAGGGATTGGACCTGCAATCCAGGTATGTGCCCTTGATTAGGAATCAAACCTAATACCCTTTTGGTCCATGGGTCAATTCTCTCATCGCTGAGGCACATTGGGCACGACTAATTTATTGATTTTAGAGAGAAACATCAATTTGTTGTCCCGCTTATTTATGCATTTATTGGTTGATTCTTGTATGTGTCCTGGCTGAGAATCAAACCCACAACCTTGGCGTATGGGGGGATGATGCTCTAACCAATTGTGCTACCTGGTGGCCAGGGTTAACTAATCTTATTGTGGTAACTGTTTTGCAATATATACATATATCAAATCATTACGTTGTACATCTTAAATTTATACAGTGTTTTATTTCAATTATCTCAATAAAACCGAAAATAATTTAAAAGATTAACAATTTTAAAAAGTGTAAAGTGTATATAGGTGTTGCATTAATGTAGCAGTAGAGTCTGAGGGTCATGCTCATCTCTAGGAGCCAGTGGATAACAAGAATGAGCAAAATAGCCCTGGTTGGGTGGCTGAGTTGGTTGGAGCATCGTCCTGTACACCAAAAAAGGTCGCAGGTTCAATTCCCAGTCAGGGCAACATACCTAGGTTGTGGGTTTGTTCCCCGGTCAGGACACTTATGGGAGGCAACTGATCAATGTTTCTCTTGTACATTGATGTTTCTCTCTCTCTCAAATCAGTAAACTTATCTTTAGGTAAGGATTTTTAAAAAACAAAATGGAATTAGGGTGGGAGAAACGTGTATAGTAGCAAATCTGGAGCTCAAACTCTGCCTAAAGGGGCAACTGGCATTTGCTGCTTCTCATTCAGTGCCAGGCAGGAATGTGAGCCCATTTTCCCAGAGAACCTGGCATTGTGTGTGATACTTCCCAAATTTTAAATACAGGCAACTAATTCAAAATTTAAAAGAATAAAAGACCATGCAAATAAAACATACCTGCAAGCCAGATGCAGCCTTCGAGCCATCAGTTTGCAACCCCTGGTATAAAGATTTGCATCTTTAAACCTTACTGTAACTATTTTAAGTGGAAGTTTTAAAATAACTTTGGGCCAAAAATAAATCCAGAACCTTGGGTGGGTTGAGTTGTTTTTATCTCCTTTGCAGATAAATAGGTCCTCAGAGCTTCTGCACACCTCTAGATATTTGGGGATGGGCCTAGCCTAAACATTCAGGTAGATAGCTTCCCAATGCCAACTTCAAGTTCAGGAGATCCCCTCAGCAGAGAACCTTTCTGAGCAGTGTCGAGACAAACATCAGCCCTCCAGCTCAAGGTTACTTCTGTGATCAAGACCAACCAGTCTAAACCATGCCTCTGATTCACTAAACCACCTCAGTTAATTGTGGAGAGAAATATTTACTAATCTATCTCAGAGCCTGATAGTTGTCAGTTTCAGCAGAAATATCCATTGATCACATGCTATTTTTAAACAGAACCTTGTGTCACACTATGCTTCTTGGGACAAAGTGAGTTTACAGGCATAGTCTTCCTTCCACTCCTATATGCATATAAGATGGCTAATTAACCTGTCTCTGCTCCTTATTGAAAAGTGCATTAGTAAGGCCTCACTTATAACTAATTCTTTCAGATACTCATAGTTAGAAAAACAGGATAGTAGTTACATTTACTTTCTTTGCTTATTTTCCATGACAACCAATTGATAAGTTAGCTCAGGAGAGCCAGCTGGGACGCAGGTTTGGCTATAACATTCATTTTTATTATTGTTTTCAAACAGGTAATATCTCTTTGCCAAAACTGGATGAACAAGAGCCCTTCTCACCGAACTGAGTAGCTATTCTGGGAAGGAGTACCCTGTGAACACATGGAAGCATGATAGTATTTTATTATGAACACTAAAGTTCCCACTTCCCTCAGTAACCTGAAAAAAACTGGATGGATTTTTTTTTTTGGTATGTGCTCCTAGTGCCCGGGACTCTGGTCTGAAGGCCAATGCTCCAACTGCTGAGCCAAACCGGCCAGGGCAGGTTTTTTTTTTTTTTAGTAACTAACTTTTTTGAAGACAGAATAGGGAAAGATCTAGCAAAAACAGGGCAATGTGTTCCTGATGCTAATGGAAGTACAGGTATTGTCAGCTTCCAAGGAAATGTTCAGTTTGGAAGACATTATCCCCTTTATCTCCTCCCCCAAAGACTGTCTACCCAACTGCACTTCAGTGAATTTTTCTATTTATGTAACTAGACATTGCATCTGATCACCGTGTAACAACCTGAGTTGTTCTTTTTAGTTGCTGTTCCCATCGACCTGAACAACATTTTATCCTTACCAAACACATTTGAATTTGTTCCTGGGTACCTACCCTGTTCCGAACAGAGGGCTTACTTTATGCTAAGGTCTGAAGGGTGCTCAAAGTAGACTATAGCTTTGGAACTCCTGACCTAGAACCAGCCACCATCTCACAAAGTGAGTATATACAAAAGGGATATTAGCCACACCTACAGTTTCTCTTTCTGAAAAGAACTTATAAAAATATCCCTGAGCCCTGACCAGTTTGGCTCAGTGGTTAAAGCGTCAGCCTGTAGACAAAAGGGTCACAAATTCAAATCCCAGTCAAGGGCACATACCTGGGTTGCAGGTTTCATCCCTGACCCTTGTTGGGATGGGACAGGAGGTGGCCAGTTAATGTGTGTGTCTCTCACATCAATGCCCCCCCCCCCAACTCCTTCCCTTCCACTCTAAAAATCAGTCCTCAGGTGAGAAAAAAGTTCTGAGATAGCTAACAATACTTATTGTATATTAAAAATTTGCAGAGAGGGTAGATCTTATGTTAAATGGTCTTACCACATGTGGAATGGATATGTTCATAGCCTTGATGGTGGTAGTTTCATGGATATATACTTAACCCCAAACTCATTATACACATTAAATATATTTTATACATGTCAATCATACTTCAATAAAGTGTTTTGTTTTTGTTTTGTTTTTTAATATAGCCCCAGGCCTGGGACATAGTCAAACCCTATGATTATTGAATTAAGCAGAATCCAAGATGGTGGGGGTTTTGTTTTCCAGATTTTTTGTTTGTTTTTAAAGCTCACATAGCTCCATAGATACAGAGAGTGGATTGGTGGTTGCCAGAGGGGATAAGGGTTGGGGAACTAAGTGAAGAAGGTAAAGGGGCTGAGAAGTACTAGTTGGTAGTTACAAAACAGTCATGGGGATGTAAAGTACACCACAGTGAATTAATATTGCCATAACTGTGTATGGCGCCAGGTATGTACTGGAAATATCGGGGGTTTGGGTGTAACACTTTGTAAATATATGACTGTCTAACCACTATGCTGTACACTCAAAACCAATAAAAATAATACCAAAAGTAAATTGTAATTGAGAAATAAAAAATACAAAAAGCTCAGATAGCAAGGATAAATTAGATTTAGAAGTAAAAGTATAGAACCAGAACTCAGAGATCTTTTTTTTCCCCCCTAATCAAACTGCCAAAGTTGGTTTTGGCTAAGAGTTTCCCAATGATCTTGATGATGATGCCCATTTATAAAAGTCTGTCTTATCCCATTCCTTTCCCCTATCTACAATGCTCACTTAAAAAAAAAAAAATTTATAAGCTTGGTTTTGAGCTATAGGAGAACCCTGAACTTGCCCTTGGGATGGAAGTTCTTAAACCACCATCAGAGCAACTAGCTTTACCCTAAATAACCTCATCCACCCCTACTCCTTACCAACTGAGTGCAAGCTGTCACAACACAGTGATTTTTAAAATTTTTTTATCAGTGTGCCTGTTTGGTGAAATCTATGAATTTAATCAAGGACAACCACACATGTCAATTATGAAACGTTTAAAATATATTTCTAAACAGAATGGGTCCACTCAGTCATAGTAACTGCTGATCTCCATAGCAGAGCAACCCACAAAGACACAGCACTGATTTTTCCCCCCTTAATCAGGGGTGAAAAATATACAACTTGTTTCTGAACCAAAACCACAACTTCTGCAGTTGAAAATGCTTCACTGCTAATATGGCCCTGGTAGAAATTATGTGATTTTATTTCCTTAAAAAAAATTTAAAAAAATTTCCTAAGACACTAAATCATCAATCTGGAATGTAAATTCTGAGCACAAAGCAGCTCAGTTTGCCTAAAAAATAAAGAAAAAATTCCCATCACCTGTTTCAGTAGGGCCTGAAAGGAGAGAAGTAGTGTGGGGAACCCCTGCTTTGGTATGGAGAGTCACGGCCTCTTGACCCAGACCGAGACCGTGAGTAGCCATAGCTGGTGCTTCTCTCCGGATAGACTCGGATGTAAGAAGTTTCACCCTGAAATTCAAACAATAAGGGTAAAATGAGACCCAGAAGAATAAAGCCTACCAACATCTGGCATAGCTGCCTACCAATAATGGTTAAGTATTGAGCACTAACTATTTGCCTGGCACAATGTTATCTTTTCAAACCCTCACAGTTCTATGAGGTAGGTATTCTTACTAGCCCATATCAAGAATGGTATCATCTGCCCAAGGTGACACAAATAATAAATGGCAACTTAATATATGGTAAATGCTCAAATACTAGCCACTACTGTTAACAAATCTTAATAACTGCCACTAACCCCTAGAATCTAAGAACTGGAAAGGATCTCAGAGTTTTTTATATATAGGGTGGGGCAAAAGTAGAGGGTTACAGTTGTTGGTATGGAAAACACAGTAATTAATAATACAAAAATAAACTTTCACATACTCACAATTGTAAACCTACTTTTGTCCTACCCTGTATAGTTCAATCCCGCCTCCTTGTATGCATCTTTCGAAGGGCACCTATCAAAGGAGCTAACCTGTATTCAGCATCTCCCAGGTGTCAGGACCTGGGCTAGATGTTCTAGTTATTTTCATAATTTAGCTTCATAGCAAGTCTTATAAGACAGTGTGCTATTGTGACGATTTTGCATATGAGGAACCAGGGTTGAGTGTAGCTCAACAAGCAGCAAGAGTCACGTTCAGGCTGGCCTTTTTCTAAGCCTTTTGCCATCAGCCAGCATTCTCAGATCTAAAGATGCTGAAGTGAAAGAAGCCAGATGCTGTTTCCCTAGTGAAGTCAGTAATTGGATTTACCCTCAGACTCTGCTTTGCAGTGTATCTAACTAGGTGCCATTTTGTTTCTGCTCCAAATTCAAGTCCTAGGGATTACTCTGAGCAAAAGCATTGTTAAACCATACAGCCTCCAAGCCATAAAATTAGGGAATTATATGAATCCTTAGAAAAAAAAATGGGCCTAGATATTCATGTCCCCAGACATCCCTAAACCCCATAGCAAGTCAGACAGGATAATCAGACAACAACAACAACAACAACATCATCCAATTGGTAGTCTAGTATATGGTCTCAATGGTATCAAAGGTATAGTCACTCCAAATCAGACTAGGATATCCAAAGCAGCAGCTGCCTTCTTGAAAGGAAGGACATCCAAGGAGGACATTGAGAACTAAGCCTCAAGGGTGAGGTGATCAACCACAAGAAAATAACAAGGTGGCTCAGGTTTCAAAAAGGATCCTGTATTACTTTGGGAAAGAAAAGTGAAGTGACAACTTAGCCCCAATAGCAGTACCTAGAAGGGCTGAGATGATGAGGTTGGCTGGCAGAGCTCAGACTAGACCCAAAGAAGGGACAGCCATAATATTTAGGTTCACAGACATTGTAGATTAAGCCAGTTATGAAAGGGATGTTATCACAATAGCTCACCACATTATGACAGACTGCACCAGTATTCTCTCCAGGTTAAAAATACTATGACTGCAGACTCCTCTCTGTTATGACCCTGCAGGGCTTAGGCATGATGAGTTCCTTGGCTTTGTCCACTTAAGATAGATCTTTAATGGTACTGTGAGGTCATCAAATGGCAAATGCATGGCCTGTTGCTACTTCTGCTAGGTCAGCTTCAGGTGGAGTGGACTGGGTATAAGGTCCTCAACAGAAGGTGGGGACCCACCTCATGAGAGCGGAATTTGGTGTCATCCAGTTTACGCAGGGCATATTCCATGTCTTCTTTTCTGAGATACTCAACCATCCCCATTCCATCCTTCTGCACATCTGCGTAACAGACATCTCCAGCTTCTCTCATGTGATCCTTCAGGTCCTGCCAGCTTCCTGAGGGAGGAAGTCCTAGGAATGGAGAACATAAAAGAAGAAGCCACATCCTTCAGCCCTGTTAACAGCCAGGGCCATACCTATGATCCCTTCTCCATCAATCACTGCTTTTAAATCCTGAGGGTCCCCAAATCACAAATCTTTGTAAGGGACACGAAACTAGAGAAGAACACTAAAGTATGTGTGGTAAACCACCTTAAGAAGCTATTCCTAGGCTAATCTTCCAGAACAAGCTTCCCCAAACATGGCAAAAAATCCATCTCGTTATAGGTTTAGTATCTCTTGAGAATTCATAGCCCCTCTTTCATTGTCCTTCATAATTAATACTAAACTCCCAATAATTTGAGTTTTTTATTCCACATGAAGTTTATCAGTACCAATGATTTCTTGCCTGACTGGGTTCCCAGGACATGGGAATCTGAAGCTATCCAATGAAATAAAGCGTAGCAGAAGATAACACAACAAAACTCTAAAGGATTTTTTTACAGGTGCAATTAACTGACAAACTAGACAAAGTACCTCTTTAAAAATCACCAATACTCTTCAATAGAGTGGAGGAAAAGGTAAGACTCAGAGGCTAAATCTAGTCGGGAGTCATACAACCCTACCTGATGTCATGAAAGGGAAATGTGCTCCTGCTCTCAAAGGCTGTGTTTACCGCTCACAGCTCAGGACTGCAGCCATTTCCTAACAGTTTTCTAAGCAGGATTTCAGAGCAGCATGGAGAGAGAAAAAGATAAGTATGACGTCTTGAAGGAGGCAGTAGAGTCCTGGGGTTAAAAAAAATTACGAAGGGACACAAGATAGGCAGATACTGACAGTATCACTCTTAAGGACCCATAGGAGTCAGCTGTGATATTCACATTGAAAAGGTTCCAGGCTCCTCAAGTCATTTCACTCCACCATAGCCCTAAACACCCTGAAATGTGCAAAAGCCCCAGGTCTTTACCAGTGTGTTAGTATTTCAAAAGATGCATAAACCTCAGAGCTTTCATCATTTGTTGACACTACATACTTTGTTCTATACTTTGTAATACAATCCGTAAGACACCAGGCTTGCTTTTTTTTTTTAACATAAGTCCAAAACCACCAAAAAAACGGGTCTTTTGCCCTGGCTAGTGTGACGTAGTGGTTACAGCGCTGAACCGTGCACCAGAGGGTTTCGGGTTTGATTTCTGGTCATGGGCACATACCTGGTTGCAGGTTCAACCCCTGCATAGGTCTCTGTGCAGGCAGGAGGCAACCAATTGATGTCTCTCTCTTACATAAATGTTTCTCTCTTTCTCTCTCCTCCTCCCTTCCACTTTCTCTAAAAATCAAAACAAACAAACAAAAAAACCTTCCCTTTTTTAGGATCCATGGCTGAGTAAATTGTTTAAATCTGGTTTCTGGAATGTCTTTTCTTTTTTTTTTGTTAAAAGAGAAATAGAACCCTCCTTTCTTTTCTTTTCTTTTTTTTTTTTAATATTTTTTTTTCTTTATTGATTTTAGAAAGAGAAAAAGGGAGAGGGAGATAGAAACATCGATGAGAGAGAACATTGACTGGCTGCCTCCTGCATGCCTCCCACTGGGGATTGGGCCCACAACCTGGGCATGTGCCCTGACCAGGAATTGAACTGGCAACCTTTTGGTGCATGGGTCGATACTCCACCACTGAGCCACACCGGCTGGGCTGGAATGTCTTTTCTATCAAGTCCAATACCATAGTACATTCCAGAAGAAAACATCTTCAGAATTCCAGCTCAAGGGGTTTTGCCATCGTCTTCCCTTTCAACACTAGAACACTCCTTTATAAGAAACCAAGTTTATGTTCCAACAAGGCTGCACTACCAGTGCAATTTCATTTGCAAGATACTGCCTCACTGGCAAGACAGGCAGGACTTCAGATTGTCAATGTGCATAGGTTATGGAAAAGAAAGCTCCATCTATGCCATGCACTGAAGAATAACAGCTAACATTTCTTGGAGGCCAGACTGTGCTAAGTATCTTACATGCATCATCTCATTCAGTCTGAAAGGAACATACCTGAAACAAGAACTCGGAAATCAGATCTTCTTGTAGGAGGTCCATTCCTCCCACCACGGGGCCACCCACCCCGACCTCCATAAGTTCTGGGGAACTCCACACGAAGCCGACACTGGCCATAATCATAACCATTCCTTCCATAAATTGCATCTTCAGCATCTCTGCAAAGAAGAGTTTGGTGTTAGTGCTGTTCAGGAGGCTGAATGACTCCCAGTGAGGGGTATGAGTATCAAAGGAAAACCTAGAGGGAGAAAAAAATAAAACAAAAACAAAAACAAAAAACAGGATCTTGCCACAATACTGCCTTGGTTTGAAGACCTTTCATGATATTGGAATTAAACTTTACATGTCACACATGGGTCTTTCTAGGTATGAAATGATAATGAGAGGGTAAACAGATTACTTATAGGAGGACTAATTCAGATAAAAAGAAGGAATAAATTAACAGATGACTGATTATGCCAATAAAAGTGTTTCTCTAAACTTGGTGGACAGTTTCTCAAAATGCATACCACACATTCATTAGTCCTTTAATATTCTTCGATAAGGCCTAGTACCATCAAGTCTATAGCAAGAAAAATCCATTTAAAAAGAAGGCTCAAAGGACAAAGGAAACTTAGTGTTTTGTGAGGAATATAATAAGCGTATGTTTTCAGCATGGTTTGGAGAAGTTGTCAAAACCACTATCTGGGTACAATCTCACCAAAAAAGAAAGTTACTTTTAGTCTTTCCTAGGGCTCTAGGAGAGCTAGGAATGCCAAGTTGATTCTCCAGTATTGGATGGGAGAAAGAATGGCCTCTGCTTGAGTGGACAAGCAGAGCTGAGGATATACTAATGAAAGCATCACTCAGTTGTCACAGGCACATAATCACTTATCAAGATTTTAGCCAGAGGATTAAAAGGAGGTCTACATCTAATGCAACCCTGGGTCTATTTATAATGCAGTGGAAGAGAAGCAGAACTAGGGTTTAAAGCACACTTTGAATACATACTGACTTGCATTCAAATCATTCTTCTGCTCTTTACTGGTAGCTGTCTCTGGGTAAGTAGTCAAGTTTTCTCACAAGGTTACTCTTAGGATTAAATAAGGTGCTATGTGTGCAGTGCTTTGCTTGAAACTTGCATGTAGTGATATCAAATGATAGCTTTTCTATTATTAAAGAACTGAGGGAAGAGATGATGATGTAGCATATTATGCAATAAGTTTGTATTCTAAAAGGGCAGAAGAGGGGGTTCAAGTCCTACCTTGATCCCTGACTACATTCTTTTATCAATTCTCTAAATTCTCAGTTTCCTCAAATGTCAAATGTGATTAACAATACCTACCTCATGGGTTGAAAATGCTAAATAATACACAGCATGGTACGGGGCACAGGGACTGCTCAAAAACCACACAGGAACTGTTACTAGTTAATAGAGGTGCAACCTTCTCTGGTTTAGGTGTGAAAATGCCTAGTTCCATTTTTGGGGCAAATGGCAATCAAAGCCTCAGGGTGCTTCCTGCCTTCCCATCCTCAAATGCTCTCCTTGCCCCATACCACCACACCAGATGGGCAAGACACCTACAGTCAGTCCTTATAGTGAAGCCTACAGGGCACAAACTGGGTAAAGCATTCCGAGACAACGCTGGAAAAGAGAGTGAGCTCTTATTTACCCTGAGCTCAGTAACCAGCACAGGGGGGTGGCCTCTAAGAACCACCAGCCCGGTTTTTAAAGTTCCTAAGTCTTTCCCTGGCCCTTGGCCCGGAAATGTTTGCAAAATCACCAAGACCCCTTCGAGCCGGTTTAGGGATCCAGAACTTTCAAATCCTTGGGTCCCTCAGCATCTAGTGGTGCCTCCCTCATCAGAGAAGGAGGGTGAAATCAGAGACCCCCCCCCCATTTGTTTTGGGAGTTTTTCCAAGTCCCTGATGCTTTTACAAGGACGAGGCCCGGGCCGCGTGGGGCGGGCGCGCGCGGACTGAGATTCGTTCCATCACTGAGACCTCCAAAGGCATCCACAGCTCCGCAGTCTGTGTCCCCCTCAACTGCGAGCTCGGCGGGCAGGGAGGGCGACTGGTCACTCCTGCTCCTCACCGAGCCCTCCCCGGGCTGGTTCAAGGGACAAGGTTCCCAAGCCTCGGGCCGCTTCCCCTTCGGGGTGCCTCTCCAGCCGCGAGGCCGAGAAGAACCATTTATACCATCCGTGAGGCCGGTTTAGGCGCACTTGGGCCCTCCAAAGGCCCAGCTTTTGGGTTTTAAAGTAAAGTAAAAAAAAATAATAATAATAGAGGAAGTGACGACGGCGCAAAGGACTGCCCGGAGCTTACGGTGAGAGGTGGCCACAGCCTCCACCCGGGGGCGCCGTGAGGGGTCTGCGCGGAGGGGGGAGGGGAGGTCTTGGGAAGGGGGGAGGGGAGGCTTTGGGAGGGGCGGAGGGAAGGCCTGGAAGGGGGAGGGGAAAGGCGGGGGCCCAGGGCCTCAGGCCGGCGGGCGGAGCGGGGCCTCACCGGGGATCCTCGAAGCGCACGAAGGCAAAGGGCACGAGGCCCTGCCGGTTCTTGAGCTCGATCTCGCGGATACGGCCGTACTTGTAGAACAAGTCCTCCAGGTCCTTCTCGCGCACGTCGGTAGGAAGGTTCCCCACGTAGATGCGCCCGTCGCCCTCGCCGCCGCGCTCGTCCGCCCAGCCCGACATCCGCACCGCCCGACGCCGCGGGCCCGCCGCAGCCCACGTCGCCGCTGCTGCCGCTTCCTTAGCCGGGGTCCCCCCGCAGCGTCCCCGCGGGCTCGGAGGCGCTCAGCCGCACAGCATTATGGGAACGCGGAGCGGAAGCAAAGGGGTCGGAGGAAGCAAAAGGAATCCCTTAAAGGGGACGCGGCTGCGAAGGTTGCGCGTGCGCGCAAGCCGGCGGCCCCTAGGGGGCTGGCGGGCCCCAGGGCGCCAAAAGGAAGGTAGTGGAGTCCAGCTAATTGGGTTCAGTTCCGGAAGGCAATTCACTCCCTAGCTACGTGGACGTGGGCAAGTTACTCAGGCCCCGTGAGCCTCAGTTTTCTGCCTCTGTCGCGCCGCCTACCTCACAGACGATTGTGAGCTCTCCCCAGAGTGTACCCCGCGGACTGTCACTGCGTGCGGGGCCGCAAGGGAGGGAGGGAGTCAGGCCGCAGGCTGACCCCGCAGCGCCGGAACGAGTCCCTGACGGCTGGGCTGGGCGGGGCCATCGCAGCCCTCTGCCTCAGGTCAGTAGACCTCGGGGCCATCCAGACCCCATTTTACAATTGCTTAGAACTGAGGGTGTAAGGTGGGCTAAGATGGATGTAAGAAGCCCGAGGTGGACTCTGCAGCTTGGACTTGAGGTTCATTGGAGACAGGGAGGGAATAAAAGAATCATAACGATGGCAACTATCATTATAGAGTGCTTCCCGGGATTTGTGCTTTTAATCCTCACCGAGGAGGGAGGGATTCCCATGTTACAGGTGAGCAAACTGAGGTCCTATAGTGGGATCAGGGTTAGGACCCAGAGCTGGGTTAGCAGCCTATGTGCTGAGTTCTTCAGGAGCTCGGGTAGGCTCCTACCTTGGCACTTTTTCACGTTTACATTTCCTTTTTTTTTTTCTCACACGACCCCCACCGGGGCCTGGATTGAACCCGCAACTGAGGTACGTGCCCTTGACCGGAATCAAACCCCGACTCTTTGTTCCGCAGGGGGACGCTCTAGCCGCTGAGCCAGACCGGCCAGGGTCCATTTCATAGCGCAGGGCACTGGCTCTGGGGACGTTACAAAACCGAAGCCTTGTATCAAGAGTCTTGGTCGCCCTGGCCGGTTTGGCTCAGCGGTTGGAGTGTCGGCCTGCGGACCAGAGTCCCTGGTCGGTTCCCGCTAGGGGCACGTACAAAAAAAAAAAAAAAAAAAATTGTTTTGATCTAAAAAAAGATTTGTCATATTAACCCTGGACAGTTTGACTAAGCGGTTAGAACGTCCTTTCGCGAACGCAGGAGTGGCGGGTTCCATTCCCAGCCAAGGGCACGTTCCTTGGTTGCGGGTTCCACCCAGGCCCTGGTGGGGGTCCTGTGGGAGGCAACCAGTCCATGAATGTTTCTCTCCCTCTCCCTCCCACTCTATCTGAAAAAAATCAATGGAAAAATATCCTCTGGTGAGAAATAAATAAATACAAATATGTGCACATGGGAGATTATAAATAATGATGATGCTCCCCAAAATGATGAGCCAGCCAACTTTGTGTACTTTTTGGACAAACATTAAACTTATGAAGAAATGACAGGACAAAGACACTTAGGTTTGGATGGTTATTACTGAGGAATCTAAGGAAAGTTTGGGCTTGGGTAGTAAATTAGCAAAGGAGTAACAAGGTTTGTTTATGCAAGCTTTGGGCTCTGAATTCCTTAACTCTAGAGACAGTGTTTCTCTTAGCCCTGCTGCAGCAAGGAGGGCACCTTGCTCGGAGATTTATTCCACCATTCAAGGGGACAAGGAAGGATCAACGTGCCCTTGTTGCACTCGTTGCTTGTCAAGTAACTATTTTAAAGTAATTCACATTGTGGCATATTTGGGGGCAGCCTGCCCTGGGCCCCAAATTCTGTGAAATTAAAAAAAATTAAAATCCATATAAGGGAGTGGTTCAACACAATGAGGATGAATGTTACATACTTACTAAATGATGTTTTGAAAGATAATAAGATCATACTAATTTAGTTATAATTAAACTAAATTTAAAATGCTGTTTAATATGTATATATACACACACACACAAGTATATATTCTGGAGGCGTCTATTAAACTGGTTGACATCAGTTGTTCCTAAAGAATGCAATTGTGACCCTGGCCCGTTTTGCTCTAAGGTAGAGCGTGGCCGGAGGACCAATTGTGGGTTTGATTCCAGCCAAGGGCAAATTTGTGGTCGGGGTCCTGTGGGAGGCAGCCAGTCAGTGTGGTCCTCTCATGTTGATGTTTCTCTCTCCCTTTCTCTCCCTCTCTCTTTGAAGATAAATATCCTCAGATGAGGATTTTTTAAAAAAATGCAATTGTGGGAAATTTCACTTTAGATGTCATATATTTCTGTAAAGTTGAAGATTGTTATTATAACTATGTTATTACAACGGTTTCATTTAAAAAGAATTTTTTTTCTTTATTGATTTTAGAGAGAGAGGAAGGGAGAGGGAGAGAGAGATAGAAACATCGATGAGAGAGAACATGGATCGTCGGTCGCCTCCTGCATGCCCCCCACTGGGGATTGGGTCCACAACATGGGCATGTGTCCTGACTGGGAATCGAACTGGCAACCTCTTGGTGCATGGGTCTACGCTCAACCACTGAGCCACACCGGCCGAGCTGTTTCATTTTTTAAAAAATATTTTTTCTTTACTGATTTTAGACAGGGAGGAAAGGAGAGCCAGAGTGCAATAGAAACATCAACAAGAGCCCTGGCCGGTTTGTCTCAGCTGTTAGAGCCTTGGCCCATGGACCGGAGAGTCCCGGGTTCAGTTCCCACTAAGGGCATGTACCTTGGTTGCAGTTTGTCCCCAGCCCCGGTTGGGGTTGTGTGGGTGGCAACCTGTCGATGTGTCTCTCTCCCATCAATATTTCTCTCTCTCTTCTTCCCTCTCTCCCTTCTGCTCTATCTGAAGATAAATGCAAAAAATGTCCTCAGGTGAGGATAAAAAAATAAAATAAAAAGAACCATCAGTGAGAGAGAACATCAGTTGGCTGCCTCCTGCATGCTCCTCACTGGGGATTGGACCCATAACCTGGACATGTACCCTGACTGAGAGTTGAACCAGCGACCTCTTGGTGCATGTGTCGATGCTCAATCATTGAGCTACATTGGCCGGGCCTATGTTTCATTTTTATGTTTAAAAAACAAAAAAAGGAATAACATTTTTATTATCCAGTTCTCTCTTTCTCTATATATATTTATACACACACACACACACACATATTCATTGTGTATAACAAAAAAGCATGGTAGATAATAACCTTCCAAAGTTTTATTTATTTTTATTTATGTTTTTCTGAATTTATTGAATTGTCTGTGATTAGCAGTACTACTTTTATAATTGGAATAAAACACAATAAATTTTTCTCTAAAAACAATCAGAGCTGTCTGTTATATTCTGATTGTATAAAGCTTCTAGTTGTTCTTTGCTGTTAGAAGACAAGCAGGAAAGAGCCCAGGTCAAATGTGATCTTGAGTCTAAGTACATAGCCTTATAGGAGCTTACATACCGTAAAGGCATCCTAAAGTCCAGATGCCTCCTCATTTTGGGGGTGTATTAACAGCACCTTCTGAGTTCTACCACTTCTACATGCCAGGAAAGAAAAAAAAAAAAAAGCATTGGAGACAATTGGGTAGTCTCCTAGGGAGAGAGATAAATGGAATCAGCTAAGTGACCTAAGAGGACTCTAGGTGGAAGACTGCTTATGAATAGTAATGATTCAGCTTGTATTGTGCAAAATCTTGCAGCGTGTAGTCACCAAAGGGGTTCATACCTAGCCTAGAACATGTTGTGCCCAAATATGGGAATGTGGCAAGTACAGCCTTCCTGAATTAGAAGGAACACGACTAAATTACTAGGAGGCATTTATGATAATCCATGGAACCCCAAAGGTGGGTTTTGTTCCTATGAGCACAGGTACTAACCTTTGCAGGTTAACACACAAACAAGGCCAAAATTATAGCTTCATGCTCAAGGGGCCCATGGGCTCCTTTCTCTGCTAAGGCCAGAAGCCCTAGGCAGGGAGGCCCTTTGAGGTTTTGCTCATCTAGTTATTCAGCATCATCAAGTGCATGCTATAATTTAGGCCCTGTATGAGGCCCATGGCATGCAGTAATATAATTCTGTCCTCAAGGTGTATATTCAAATTGCTATTCAAACAGTCATTTAAAGCACAATTGTGATAAGGGTCAACTGCTGTGAGACCATCTAATGCAGTTTTAGAGATTATAAGGAAGGCCTCCAGGAAGTAGGTGTTTAAGTTGAGCTCTGAAAGACCAGTGGGAGTTAACCATAGGGAAGAAGGGAAGAGCTTTTCAGGCAAAAATGCCTTCATGAGTGACTGCCTGGATAGAAGAGAGTGTGGCAGACCAGGGGCAATCTCCACTGCCCTACAGTATGGCTAGGGCAAGTTTAGGCGGGGGAGGGGAGAACTGGGGCTGGGGCTTCAAGGCCTAGTGGACCATATTATAGAGTTTGGACTCTGTTGAGGGTAGTAATAACCATTGGAGGATTTTAAGGAATTGTGTTGGGATGAGACCTCCGTAGAAGGGTCTCCTCCGTTGGGGAGGAGACCAAGAGCTAATTTGACTAGAGGGCAGCTGTAGGATAGTAGGGGAAAGAAATGAGAGAGAATGTGGCAGTAGCTGCCATTATGGGCTTTATAGGGGAACTTAGGGAAGAAGGAGAGATAATTAGGGGGTCAATGGTAGGAAGTATTTCTGTTTAATTGCAGTGTAAGACCCCTCCTGTGACCTCATAGATTCCTTTGTTAAAAACTACATTATCCATTAATAACTGGAGTTGGATTCTTATTGTTCTGGGAAGATATACATCATGTTTAGATTAGCCTAAAGGTGAATATAGGTAAGAACAGGGAGAGTCCCTAGATGGCCCACTGACAAGCAGGTTACACAGGAAAGTAACAAAGGAGTGGGTGCCGGGAGACTAGCTAGGAGACCACTGCAATTACCCAAGCAAGAGATGCCAGTGACCTGATGTAAGGTGATAAGAGACAGAGATACTAATGAGATTAGATTTCCCAAGGAGATGAAGTCATAGGACTTGGACATAGATTGGACATGAGGGCTGAGGAAGAAGGTAGAGTCCAGGTTGATTTCCAGGTTCCTGGCATGGGGACCTGGATAAACAGTGGTAGCATTCTGAGATGGGGAGTAAAGCAGATGGAAATGATCTGCAGGAGATGGATGATGATGAGTTCAGGTATGTGTGGAGGACATAAGAAGAAAGGATAAGAAGTGTGATGGCTCTAGGTTTGATGTGTCCTCCACGGAAAACAGCACTCCAGGTGCATGACCTAATGATGGTGGAGAGGCATTGGAGTCAGATAAATGGGATCCGAGTGTCCTTCCTGCAGGGATAAGCTTTCACTTAAAATATGAGGGAATTCAGCCTTGGCAGGGTAGCTCAGTCAGTTAGAGCTTCGTCCCTATATACCAAGGTTGTGGGTTTAATCCCTCCCTCCCTTTGTCAGAGCATATACAAG